AAACTCCTAGATAAAGTGGAACTTTTAATTGTAGTTGTGATATACTACATCAATATGTCTCTTCTACATGTCCACTTCCAAAATGTCTCTTTCATCTTCCTCTAGGTTTGAAGCTTAAATTGTTTCTTTCAATATTCTTTTATATGCCCAATTTGACCAAAACAACAGGTCTAGTACAAGTCCTTATTTTGGCATTCAAGTACCAAAATTGTGCTCATCTATCAAGTGCACAGGACACTTATCCTCATAACTCGATTTCTTTCTTATTTCTTTTCTTTTTAATTTTCTGATAAACAACAGCTCATAGCAAATTGCCTAGCAGGAATCTAAGAGGTTGTAAAATACTGCTGCTAAAAAAAGGTTTACACCTAGGTTAGCAAGAAATATGATCAGGATTAGCATCAACTCCAATAAAAAAAGGGAACAAGTTGTCAGAGAAGCACAGACCTGAAGCCAGGGAGATGGGATACCATAATAGGTGTATTCTTGTGGAACATCTTGGTTTCTTGCAAGCCTTTCTAATACTTTAACACACTTAGGAAGACAACTCCAATATGCCTCGTGATTATTCGACAGCAAAGCAACCAGAAGACTCATAGAAGACGTCAAGATACCAAAATCCCGTTCGTCTAATAGTTGCGCCATCCGATCTGACCTGCAACACATGAGAAAGATGACTTAATTATACAAGAATTATTTATTCTGTCAAATTATCACAGAATGCACATTGTACAAAAGTTCATTACCAGCCATCCACATTCACCACATCAGGGTTTTTTCTATAGAGGCGCAGAAGACACAAAGCAGCCTTCTTCCTCACAAGCGGTCTACAGCTACTTGAGATCTTAAGCAATGAAACTATTAGCATCATTGTGAGCTGCTAATGCCTATCAAAACTATAAAAAATAAGGGAAAAAAATTCATTTACGAGTAGTTTTTGAACATCAGGAGCTAGTGATTCCGCAAACTCTCGGCCCCCAATATTTCCAACCTGAAAAGATACAAGTGACATTGGATCAACAGAATGTAACAACCACACCAAATTTTCAGTGCATATAACATGTAGAAATATGCCTCAAAGCAACATACAATCGAAGTAATATGCTTGCACAAACTAATACTGATAAACTTCTAAGAGGAGAGATCCAATATCATACCAAAGTCAAAGCCAGACACTGAAAAGTCTCATTGCGTCCTATAATATCATTGCGCACAGTATTAATTGCTAATCTCAAAAAATCATGATTCTCATTGAGCAAACATGATGTCACTATGTAGCCAACCTGTAGCCAATCGAAGCAAGAGAAAGTTATTAAATTGGAGTTCATAACCTCATTTCATGCCAAACAGAATAAGATAAGACTTAAAAGTATCAAGTACTACCATATATAAGCAAGAAATAAATATTGTTCAAAACAACAATTTCAATAGATTGAGACCGGTTCTATTCATCCATAATTCCATCCTCATATAGTCATACATTTTACATTTGGAGTTATCGCTAGCTGGAAAATTCATCTCTGCAACCTCAAACAAAAGAACGCACAATAATCTACAAATGAAGTTCCCTACAAACCTAAACTTACTATCCTTTAGATACTCGCTCACCCTCGGAAACTTCACAATCATCTTCCACAATATTCCTTAGCTACTTAGATAGTTTTATTAACACTTCACAGAATAATTAAAAAAAAACCCAGTGATTGAAGATGTAACACCCCGAAATTTTTAGAATAAAATTATTTGTTATAGTTTACGATTTTGAAAGTTGAGGGACTAAAATAAAGTATGTTTTAAATGGGTCAAATATTTAACTTTTTATAGAGTGATCAAAAGTATATCAACATTGGACTCATTTTGTAGCTCACATTAAATAGTGTTTATTGGGCTCAAGAAAATGTATGTTCAGATGAGTTAAGAACAAGATATTTATAGAGTGACCAAAAGTATATCACTCATTTGGTAGCTCGCATTAAATAATGTTTGTTGAGCTTAAGAAAATGTATGTTTGAATAAGTTAAGCCCAAATTATTTCAATCCAAAGAAACGTATTTAACATGTATTTTTTTTTTATAATATAATGGTTTATTTTCTAATCACATTTATCTTATATTTTGAAAAGATTTAATCATATTTTCTTCCAATTACACGTGTATTTTGTGTGTGTGTGTGTGTATTATGTTAATCACGTTTATCTCCTTCCAACTGATTCACGTGTATTATTGGATATACTCATATTTTGGTTCATTGAAATCCTACTTGATTAAGACTACTTTTCCTTCTTCCAATAGTAATACTCAATTTCAATGAAACTGTCAGCCTTGTCCACGTGTGTGTGCCCATTGAAGCCTATAACTCTATTAGATAAGTGTTACTCACCTACTTTTTGAAACTTTCTCTGTCAACTTTTAAATGGAACACGGCAACTCCATTTCAATTGTTTCCAAACTCCAATTATTTTCAACTATAAATACCATACAAGAGGTCACATCAATCAACACAAAAATTATAGAACCCACAAGGTGAACGCGGGGCAGAAGAATTTGGAACGTGAATTCTGGATTTTGTCTTTCAACATTCATAAGATAGGATACTAAGTGCAAGTGGATATGTCTTTGCAATATTATAATAAGTATATCAACATTGGACTCATTTGGTAGCTCGCATTAAATAATGTTTGTTGAGCTTAAGAAAATGTATGTTTGAATAAGTTAAGCCCAAATTATTTCAATCCAAAAAAACGTATTTAACATCTATTTTTTTTTTTTATAATATAATGGTTTATTTTCTAATCACATTTATCTTATATTTTGAAAAGATTTAATCATATTTTCTTCCAATTACACGTGTATTGTGTGTGTGTGTGTATTATGTTAATCACGTTTATCTCCTTCCAACTGATTCACGTGTATTATTGGATATACTCATATTTTGGTTCATTGAAATCCTACTTGATTAAGACTACTATTCCTTCTTCCAATAGTAATACTCAATTTCCATGAAACTGTCAGCCTTGTCCACGTGTGTGTGCCCATTGACGCCTATAACTCTATTAGATAAGTGTTACTCACCTACTTTTTGAAACTTTCTCTGTCAACTTTTAAATGGAACACGGCAACTCCATTTCAATTGTTTCCAAACTCCAATTATTTTCAACTATAAATACCATAAAAATTGTAGAACCCACAAGGTGAACGCGGGGCAGAAAAATTTAGGAAGAATTTGGAACGTGAATTCTGGATTTTGTCTTTCAACATTCATAAGGTAGGATACTAAGTGCAAGTGGATATGTCTTTGCAATATTATAATTTCTTTTACATGATTTATTTCTCGAAATGCTAATTGCCATGCAGGTCTCAATGAAATGAAATGTGAGATCTCCTTCAAGTTTTCTCAATTGCTAGAGTTTTCGATTGATCTCCGATTGCTCTTGATGAAATGATGATATGGAATGTTATAGATTTATGTTTAAAGAATTATTATATTGTTTTAGACGCACGTATCGTACTGGGTTTAAAATACTCACTCCTTCAAAATTTTAATTTCTCAGGTTAGATTAGTTCAACGTGGATGGTGGCTAAATGGTGCGCGGGTTGCCCAATAAAACTTTGTCAAGACAAAGGAACCTTCAATAATTTTTTTGTTATGTTTAGAGATTTAGTATTTCGTAGATTTCTATTGAATGCTTAAAGTTTCTGATTTAATGTTTTGGATTGATTTAATTGGATGTTATGAAGTCTTAAATTTTATTAAAGTTTATATCTTCAATTTAAATATTTTTGTTTTATGTATGATTATGAAATGATAGCAGTAACACCTCAAAATTTAAGTCATTAAAATTTGGGGCGTTACAGAAGATATAGCATCGTCATCTGGAATTGAAATATCATCAAGATAGCTATGGAGGCAGTATACATAGAGTAGAGTAAATTAAAGTACGGAGACAGTTATAATAGAGATCTCATTTTGTTTATGTATATAAACGTAATTAAGGTATCTCCTTATGTCGCTTCTGTAACATGATAACCAACAGTTAAAAGCATCTTTCTAATTCGCAGCTTTCCAACTTATTAATTTAATCTATACTGGAATGCCTGATTTGCCATTAAGCACATACAAACAATAGTATACATTAAGTTTCACTTAGGTCCATGCTTGCTGACTTGCTCTAGGTATTGTAAGGACAATACACCCAGTATCTTATTTCTGTAATTGCATTAGCATATAGACAAGTAAATGCTTTGCATAGATTATAACCCAGACAAGCGAAATGCAAATGTCTTATATAATTGTGCCCAGGTTCCACTAGCAGGCTAAAATTAGAATCTCATTGAATTATCAGTTGCCTCAATTCACTGAATTAGGCATCATACTATTTAATATTAATGCAGTGTGTGTATCAACCAAGTCACTTACATTTCAGTTTTAACAAAGCTGGTGGTAGCAATGCAAAAGCACATAAAACAGCATTCAGGCAAGAAGAAATTTTGTGGATAACCCAGTTTTCTGTCATATTAATACAATTGCATTTTATAAGAACCGATGAAGTATCTTCAAGTATTGTAAAGTTATGTGGTCAGTTTGTTTGAAAGGTATGCGGCAAGGTCTTCAATTTAATCTTTACGTATAGTCAATTTTGTGTGAGCCTGTTTGCGAGACATGTAGAGAGGTCTTCAAAAACCTCCAAACTCCATTTCAGCATCCAGTTTTCAGATTTAGCCCCTTTTTGACAAGCATTATTTCAAACCTCTTTAATTCTCATACTTATTTTCAACCATACATTTACACAATAAAATATTTTGCAGGTAAACCTAAAATTGTTCTCTACTTTTTAACTACATGTTCTCCAAAAAAATCAACTTCATTTCTCAAAATAATGGCCATCAAACACGAGCTTACCATGTTTCATCCTTTGCTCTAAATTTGTTGCATTAAAAACGGAAAGATCCCGCGAGTCTAATCTTAGTGTATAGGAGTTACTGAAATAAAGAAGCAATAAACTCTTTTTTTGCTAGAGATTGAAACTTCTTTTTCTTGTAACTCTTCTATTCCTCAACTGTGTTGGTTGAGAAAACAACACAAAATTAAGTTCAACGTCAAGAGTTAAGATAAATGAATTGCTATAAGACAAAAGCTTTTGCCTTTAGCCCCTTCTATGGTAATAGATTACAATATGATGTAACCCTTAAGAATGCCGGTTGCACAGAACTCTCAATTGTCGAATTCAACCTTCAAAGTCCATTCTCAATATTTTCTTTCCTAATCAATAAATGAAATTGACATCAATGCACTACTGAATAATTTATTTCAACACATATGCTTCTAGGCAATTTAGATATTGAATATGCATGTACAAACTTGCATTCATTGAGTACTATGGGTTACTACCTGTCAACCACAATGTTGAAAAGAAATTCATAATTAATGTGAACTAATCAGATAAATAGGAATATTGGAAAAATTGAATACATATATTACCTGTTTTTCAGGATACTTTGGAGCAGATATTAAAGAAACAGCTTCCATGTGACCGAAATCCACATCATAACCCAGCATATAAATGTAAAGAATCTTCCAGACATACTTCTTCTTTTCATAAGGTGTGGAAGCCTGTCAAATGATTAAAAAAAAAAGGATTCGACAACCAGTAGTCAAGTGATTATGCAATTACCAAAATAACTGTTGTGCAGAGTATATTTTAGAGTGGAAAATCAAAAGTGAAGGAAAATATGTCCGACATATATTGGGTCAACAAATCATGAAAAATGCAAAGCTGTGAAGGAAATACTTTAGGTGAACTAGTCAGTATTGCTCCTAATATTGCGGAGACATTTCATAAAACGATGATGAGTACAAACTCCAGAAATTTTATTTCTGACAAATGAAAGTAACAGAAAAGAGAAGAGGTTGAAAATTCTTACATGCAGTAATTGTGTATTGTAGTTTTTTAGTCTTCACTGGAATTCAGAGCGTGCATAATTTAGGGTAATTGTTCATAGCAGTAATATGTCCATTATTTAGGGCTTTAAATGCCTCGTTCTATCATATAAAGTGACAAAAGGCTATGAATATGTCATCAGGGCAATTGCTTATGATAAGCAAGAAAAATTCTTAAGTCAATCATCCTTAACACTGTAGTTAAGGAGGTGCCTCATGTAGGGGCAATGGCTCTCTACTTAAACCTATAAGTAAAATCATATTAAAGTTTCTGATCATCATGATATCTACTGTTACTAAGGTTTAATACGAGAACTTTTGTGATAATCGGTAAAGACAGGTAAAAATTCACAAATTTGTATAATAGACCTTGTATTTCTATTTTGGCTAAACAGAATTCTTTTCTTAAAACTATTTTACACTGATTTTGTATGATGTTAGATAATAGTAGGACAATAACAGAGTATCACAAAAGATACTACAGCCTCAAAGATTCTAATATTAGAAATGCGAAATGGTGCTCTATGGAAAAATCCAGTTTGATCAAAAAAGTCAAATTTCTATTACAATGGGACCGATGTAAAATATTGTCTGTGTTACAATTGTAATCATTGCATTTGTAACTTGCACCCTTTCATTCTAAGCACACTTTGAAGTTTTCTAAAAATTTCTCCATCAGCGTAGATGCCGATACTACCCAAAGATGCAGTATTTATTTAGGGCAACAATCAAGAATGAAGAATGGTAAGTGTTAAGAGTTAAGACCCTGGAAAATAGAAACAGCTTAATCACCAAGAAATTGACTTATTCCAATCCTTGACATTCTATCAATTCACATTATATAAATGAAGGAATAAGTCAGAAAGACAAGAAAGTCCTACAGAGCAGCATCTCATTTTAGATTATGTATGTCTTGATGATACCGAACGAACGGACATTGGGACTGTATGATCAATTTAACTTAAAACAACTAGTATCTTGAGACAGGCATTGTAATTATACTCCATATGGCAATCTAATTCAAAAATATGCAATGAGGTATTGGTTTTCTTATTCTTTTCAATTAATATACTAAGCATCCACTAAGGTGAGTTTTGAAGTAAACCACCAAATTACAGGTAACTGCATTGTCACAGTTGTTCCCTCAATCTATATTATCCTTGACAAGCAAAAATCTATTACCACCACAAAGATTTCAGAGGATTCTCGGCAAGTGCATACAATGTATACATGCGATGTATACATGAAAAGAGCACCAAGAAACTGCAAGGTGCACAACATTCCCCATCTCCCACTGATTTTCAAATTCAGTTCCAATGTTTAAAAAGGCTCAATTTGGTACCAAGGCCTTTCACCTCCAAGAAGAAAGAGTTTTGAGGCGCAAGCCTCAAGATGAACCAATAAAATAATTAAAAATAATACAGAGGCCCAGAATTCTCATATATTTATCATTACTAATAGCTAAGTTGCTCGGACTCGGGTACGGGTATCGGATACGGGTACGTATTGAAGTGTCGGATCTTTTAATTTTTAAAATGGAGGATACGGGGACACGGCTAAAAAGAGTCCAAATTTCGGACACGGGTACGTGGGTACATTTTTGAAACTTCAATTAAATTTTTTTTTTTTTCAAAAAATTAATCAAAAATATTATTTGATTATTTCTATTTTGTCAAGTTTTGAAAAAAATATTAATTTCAAAAAATGTTATTAAATTGTTCTAAAAAATTTATGTATGTTTATTTTATAATTATTTGTCAATCATTTTGGCCAAAGAAAAATCATATTTTAAATTGTTTTAAAATTTTGTAACAACATTAATCATGATATTTTTTTAAACTAAAATGATCTTATCTATATCAAAAGAATCAAAAACATAATTAAGAAATAATAAACTTCGTGTAATTTGTTCAACCAATAAAGTTGTAAAATTCGAAAAAAAAA